CCCACCCCGCCAAAAAAACAAAACGTAACACACTCCAATTTTCTTGAGTTTTTTCCCGTACATGTATCATTATTATTACAGAGACACTCTCGAAAGACTCTTTATTTGCATTAAAGCAACTCAGTCAAAGGCGTTAGAATAAGATCAAGAACTATACACTGTCTTTGCATACTAAAAACAGACCTTCGACAGAGTAGAGCAAGACAAATTGTAGACGGAGCCGGAAGAATAAGGGATCAGGAGACAACTACTGGAAAACATCATATCACTAATATGAAAACAATAAAACAACATTAAAAATACAGAATGAAAAAAAACAACAAACAGTTTCCATTATTAAGATCAAAAGGAAGACAAGCATGTGTAATTATTTATAACATACATGGAAAAATAACAGCTGAAGCTTGACCAAAAGACAAAACAATTAACGAGCTTCTGTTTGCCAACGATCAGAGCATACTAGATCTATGCGACAACGAGAAGACCCTCCAAGAACACGTAAATAAACTCAACAAAAACTGCAAAGACCACACCATGAAGATCAGCATACACAAAACCTAGACGATGACAATCAAACAATACACCAGACCCGCTAAACATCACTGTCGACAACAGCAAAATCAAGCAAGTAAAAGAGTTCAAAATAATAAAGATCTATGTACTTGGGTGTCTTGGGAAGGAACTGTGTTCGCCCAAAACGGAAAGACAGACAGAGAAATAGAAACCAGCTTTTTTAAAAAAAGCCAATGCTCTGACATACCAACTGACACCATTACTTTCACACCCCAACATCACAAGGAAAACACAGCGCCAACTCCTTGGCAGCATCTTTATACAAACACTGTGTTACCAACCCCCGATATGAACAATAATAATTATGCAAGAGTCTCCTAAGTAAAATAAACGCCTGTGAAGCGAGATGTCTAAACGCATTTTTGAACACCACAAGAAGAGACAGTGAGGAGCGAGGTTGACCGAGAACAATTTGACTCCACTGCTAGCAATACATGGATTAAAAACAAACAAACAAATAAAATGGTTTTGGACATAACTGTCATGATTACCAGCAGACAGTATAGCAGCGAGAGCATACAACCAGAGATAAGAAGGAAACAGGGGGAGAAGTAGGCCCAGGAAAAGATCAATAAAAAGGGGTCAGAAAAACAGTGCTCAAAAACAACATAACCAAGCAACAGGCGATACCCCAAACAAGAGACTGACGTTCGCTTCTCCCATCGACACTGCAAGCTCACAGAGACCGGACAAAAAGTCAAACCTAAGTGTAAAACACCGTCAAAGAAAAAACTACCACTCCCCCAAAACAAAAACAAAACAAAACAAAACAAAACAAAACAAAACCAGAAAAGAATTTTTTTTTTTAAAGAACTAAAGATAAGATTCACCATCCCTCAAGAGAAATAGATAAGCATTCGCAAAATTTACTGACACAAAGCAGTACTGCATTACCATTATTGTTATCTTCTTCCTTGTGTTCCCTAGCTTGATCTCAGAGGTAGTCGACTACTACAGGCTCTTCAACCAGCAGTGAAACTGATTTTTTTTTATTTTTATGTTTATGCAACCATTTTTTTTTCTACTTTGTAAGGCCGTTTGCCTCCAGGCAGCATATCAAGATTTCGAAGGTACTCTATGTTGTTGTTGTTGTTGTTGTTGTTGTTGTTGTTGTTGTTGTTGTTGTTGTTGTTGTTGTTGTTGTTGTTGTTGTTGTTGTTGTTGTGGGGGGGGGTTAATAATAAGAAGAGTATTTTAAGTTTCGGTAGGATTTAATTTTTAATTTTGCCCGAATGTCGCTGGAGCCTACTCTTATAGATCTTATAGATCAAGGCATTTTCAAAGCGCCAAAATTACACACAAGACCTCCGAAATGTTTGTCCTTATCCGAGAAGGCTAGCTGTTCGAACTCACCTACCCTTTGAGCAGGGGTGTAGCTGAAAGTGGTGACAGCAACAGTAAGGAAGGAGGAGCCAGGGCGAGCATTAAAAAGAGTGGAATAAGGGAGACAGCGGCCAAGAGGAGGCTGGGGATTGTTTGTTTGTGTGTGTGAGTGTGTGTGTGCGCGCGCGTGTGTGTATGTGTGTGTGTGTGTGTGTGCGTGTGTGTGTGCGTGCGCGCGCGC